ACTGCCAGGTTCCATCCTGGGGTGTCTGCAGAGAAGAGCCTAGATTATGAGAAGGACCCTAAATGAGCTAGGGAGGGACCCAAGGTGAGTGCTGTCATCTATAGCGTCAGCTCTGTCACCAGTGCAGCTGAGGAGTGGGGAGCATTTCAAGTACAAATGTCACCAAGGACAGTGCAATCCTATCAAGCTGATGTGTGCATCTTCCATGTATGACATGTATATGACTATAAGCAGGTTAATCACCTAAATAACTCCTCTGGGTCTATCTACATGTCCCAGTTGTCTCGTGCTCACTAACATCATGACACATGCATTTCCACATGGCAGCATCATTTTTCACCTTGATGTATTTTCTGCCAAATTGTCTTGGAGCTACATGAGGCTAGAGGGGGGCAAACCCACAGGAGTGAAAGGCAACACAGGAGCCAGGTATATTCTGACTTCATGGCCAAACTCTTAACCACTAAGTCAAGGTTATCCAATAAATTAACTCAAAGGAGAAAAAGTTATAGCCTGGAAGATGTGAACAAATATTCAGGAGTCAATGAAACCTAGCTCATTTTCTAAGGCCAAGAACACAGGTGGTTCCAGTTACCAGTTCTATAATTGAGAATGATAACAGTATTAAGCTCATCTTTATGAAGATTAAATGAGATCTTCATTTAGGTGGTTAGCACAGAGCCTTGGCACGTTGTAAAATGTTCAATAAATGTTAACGCCAACATTTATCACAATAATACATCTTGGGAAACCCTTTGGTCCTCAGCTAACATCGGTAAAGACAAGATGATAAATCATTTTCACAAGTTTTCATATGTAGAACTCTAGAGAGTTCTTGAGCCCTTAATAGATGCTCAATAAATGCTAGTTCTCCCTGTCCTCCCAAATAGTCCTCTGTTATCTCACCACATTCTGACATTGCCCACATGAACAACAGGTCAGGGTGAAGGTTTCTGGTCCATAACACCCGCCCACTCCCATGGTCCTGCTTTCTGTTTTGCCTCTCACCTCCTGTAGAGCCCAGCCCACACCCCCTCCAGCCCCATACCTGCCTAGAAGACTCTCTCCCACCCCACTGCTGTCCTCCCATATTGACAAATGTGCAGCCAGCAGATTATACTCACAGTGTGAGGGAATCATTACCACCTGCTAATATTTTTATAGAATTTCATAAACTTGGTCATTCATGAATCATTTACAGTACTTTATTCCAATGAAGAGTTCACAAATCACTCAAATGCTGGCAAAATGCATAATAATGAGTAATATTTCAGGAGGCTTTGCATTAATATGTCAGCTTCCTATACTGCAAGAGCTAAGTTATTTTGCCAGGTACGATTTCGGGTCAAAAATGTGGGAAACTCTTTGGGAGGCAGGGGTAGGGAGAGTGGGCAGGTGGCAGTGGGTCATGGAGAAAGATGGTATTTAAGAAGAAACAGATCATTCTACCAGCCAACCCCCTTCCTGGGTCTGATAAGTGGAGTTCCTAGGAAAGAGGTTTAGAAATTTTGCAGATTAGATATCAAAGTCTAGTGGGAGTAAAATGGGAAGAAGTTTTTCTTAGTGATCAAAAATGCAGGCCTCTGGGGAGGAAGAGAAACAGATATGGATGCCAAATTCAATACATACCAGCTGGGAGACCCTGAAAAAGTTATTTAACAGTTATTTGCTTATCTGTAAAATGGTGTTAACACCTAATTCTTAAGTCTCTTGTGTGAAATGGATTAAATAAGAGAATGCATATGAAGTGTTTAGCACAATATCAGCCATGTAGTGCTCAACAGACAGTAGCTTTAATGATGATACACAGTTCAGGTGTCCAGGGGCAATCCTAGCTCAGGCTATTTCTTATCCTGTAAATCCCCAAGGTGTCTTCTACAATGCGTTCTTGATGGATTTGGAAATGTTAAGACCATAGCATAGACTTGCATATGAGTAGCACTTAATTTTAAAATAAACAAAACAGCATTGGAGCAAATATAATGAATGACAAAGCATTCACCCACAATTCCTGATTCTTTAAACTCGCAGAGGAGAGAAAACCAGAAAGGAGGGAGCTGGAGACTCACGCTCTGCTCTTTGAAGGAGCAGGTTTGCTTCTGACCACAAAGACACAAAGACCACCTACAGATCTAACTGTGCTTCTAAGATGATAGATTATTTCTCAGCAGACTGGAATTGCAGCACGATGGTGCCTAAAGTTTACCAGTGAGAATCACCCATTCTTATTAAATGTAAAAATATGAGAACCAAAGATAGAGTGATAGGTCATGTTCCTCGCAAGGATGTAAAGAAGACAGGACAAATACTGCACTGAGGAGCAAGAGGCATGTGTAGGAGGGTCAGGCTGCAGTTTGCAGCCCTTGTCCTTGTGTAAGAAGCTGCATCACCTCAAGTGCCAGCAGCCTCTCCAGTGGGGGCTCTGTACCCCGGAAGCTAGACCATACAATGGACGGGGTCAGCACCTGGCATTTCACCTGTACACTGTAGGCAGGGGCAGGAATCCATTTCTTTTGGAACAAAGTCTAGGCACTAAAACAAAGAACTCTATGCAGATGGGCACCTGGTATGTCTTCCTAACCACTGTATCCCCTTCTAGCTAGGAGGGTGTGTCACTCTGCAGGCATCCAATCTCCAAGAGTGGAGAGCCTGGCCTATCAGTCAATATGCTACAGAGCTGACTCTGAAACTGTAAAATAAAGTCACACTTATTCAGGAAAAGCTCATGCTTGAGATGGACAAGGTGGGTGAAGGCTCAGAGGTCTCTGGGTTTTTATTTTCCCTCCCTTGCCTGTAACTTTTACTAGGTTTCTGGCACTGCTCTGCATGTTTGACACGTATTAACTGCTTTAATCCATTAAAATCCCATGCGACAGTGTTCTATTCCCATTTTATGGATGACAGAGTTGAGGCACATGGTTCCACAACTGGTCTATAAGAGCCGTGATCTGAAAGCAGCCAGTGTAACTAACTGCATGCAGAATGCATGTTTTCCCTTCTTACATCACATGACTTCACTTTAAGGGATAAAGAATGAGAAGCTACAGACCAGGCACTATTTTATGATCTGATCAGCAATGACTAGTCAGCATGATTGCATGATTTCATCTTTTATGATCCTTAGAGGCGTGGCACCAGCTCAGTGTTGTGGAAGACAGGCAAGACCAGAGCGGGCAAGTTGCCCAAGACCACACAGATCAGGAAACAACAGCGCCGAGATTTAAACAGTGATTTTCTGAGCCAGAGTCTGTGCTTTTAATTACTATTATGATTTAGATACCACTTAGATTAAAAATAAAATAGCTAAATTAAAGAAAAACAAACAACTTAGTGGGGTTTCTACTTAGGCACAGCACCTGATGCCTTTATGAATACTGGAAAGGGGAGCCTCCCCAGTAGACATAGTCCAGGGCACAGTGCTGCCTTTGGTGAGCAAACTGGGAGCCAGGGCAGGTCCCTCCCCTCCCTCAGCCACCCTGTCCACTTACCCGAGAGGGGAGGGCTACTTCAGGACTCAGAAAGTCTTCTCCAAGAAGTCATAATAATTGACATCTTTGGTAGTGTCCAAACCAAACCAACTGGTTGACCAAAAACCACCTCTGCATCCTCCCTATCAATCCTTGAATACTGGCGTTGAGTTCTCCAGGCCTCTGGGCCTGCTCCAAGGAGTCTCCCTACCAGTATCATTTCTCCCTGTCCATGGGGGCCAAGGTCCTGAAAGGAGACTATTCTGAGGCCCTGGTTCATGGCACCCATAAGGACACCCAGAAAGTGACTTTAATTTTTAAACTATTTTTGGGTCCCACAAACATCAGAGACAATCAGTTAGCCCTGGAGGCATCCAAATTCTTGCTCAGCTCTTAAGACAACTCCCAAGGGTCACCCCCTCCCCCCAAAGCCCTCTTTCAGCCTCATGTTCACCAGTTCTCCATCCTGGCAACCAGCCCATCCCACCTTTAATTCATGCCAGGTCTACTTCCAGGCTGCACTCCCAGGAGACTCCCCTTCTTTGCTCTTTGTCTTGTTCCCTGTCAGCCCCTCAGGGAGTTCCTGAGGTGCAACTTCATCCAGGAATCTGTCTCTGATACTTAAAAGAGAACAGCAAATGCTGTGATGTTCAGTTTTTATCAGAAGGAAGAACTGCAAAGTTGTTGAAGACACCAACCTTCTCATGGCTGAAAGCAGGAAACGGAAGTCACAAACAACCTCTGCCTGGTCTCCCTGAATGGGTACCAACTTCTGAAATGATCCTTTTACAGCCTTCTATTTCCCCATATAAAATTAATGAGTACATTGTATGAAAACCAGAAAAGCAAAGAAAAACATCAACACCCAAGCACGACCACTTTGACACTTTGCTTCTGCTTCCACTGTAGTTCCCCATGAGCATGATGGGAACCGATGCTTGCTCTGTATGAGACCATGTGCTGTGTGCCTCTTTCCACCCAAAAGTGCAACATTTAACATAGGTCCCATTTAACCTTCAAAAATATTTTAAACAGCTATAGAAAACTTCCTTGCAAAATCGCACCATAATCTCACCACTACCCTACTCCTGAATATTCATCAATTGCTGCCATCTTTAAGGACCATGTCCTGCTATGACATCATTGTCATACACAAATCCTACAAAGTTCCCTCTTATTTCCTTAGGATAGATTTCCAAAGCACAATGAACATGTCGAAGGGGCTACACCTTTGCCTGCTCTTCATTATCAAGCTGGTTTCTGGAAAGCCAGCCTTAACCAATGAGTTCTGGTGTCCTCTGGGATTTCCCCCAGTGCCTGCAGCCTTACAAAGGCCGGGGGGCCTCTATTGATGACAGAGGGCCCCACTGAAACCCTGTTGGTGCTTGACACCACTCAGTTCCCAGAGAGATGCACTTAAAGTCTCACAGCCCTAGGTTTGATGAAGCACAGAAATAATGAACTCAGCAGGAAGAAAACCATCTCTGAAAGCCACATCTCTGCAAGCAGGGTGGGCACTCGAGGGGTACTCACTTGATAAGTAGCGATGGTTTCTCTGTCCAAGGCCCGTGTCACGGAGACGCTGCCCGTGTTCTCATTGATTCTGAAAATGCCTTTAGGCTCTTGATCCACTCCCTTCCCAGTGAGCCGGAACTTGGACCCTTCTGGTCTGTCACTGTCCACTACCTGGTCAGAGAAACAGAGTGGCATTTAGGATTTTGGCTGGAAAGCACAGAGAAAGATCAGGCACCTAACTCAGTGACCAAGCCAGCAACACAGGTGCCAACACAAAGGTGCTGGATGATCCTGACTAATACAGCATCTCCAAAAATAGCATCGCTGCTTAACACCTCCCGCCCTAATGTGCAAATCTTTGCAACTTACAGATGAAGAAGCTGGCCAGCTGGGGAGGGGTGAGACGTGACAAGACATACAGTAATGGATCTAAGAGGGCAATAACTCAGCAAGTTCAAGCGTGGCCATATTATTCTTAACTCCCAGGAAAGACTTTTTCTGCAAGTACGACCAAATAGGCAAGGAAAAACATTTATTGGACAATTCTGTGCAGGGCAAAGATCAATAAATGCTCTAAGTGTTTACATGTCTCCAGCCATCAACAGCACCACCTTCCCATGCTTCTACCATTGGCAGGGCATGGGGATGAGGGAGCATCACACACTGCTTTTTACAACCTTCATGACATTGCTGGTGGTAGAGGAACACCCCTATACTCATTTGAAGGGTGAAGTCACAGAAACACAGAGATTAAGCAAGCCAACCTGGGTTGTAGCTATTCTAAGTAGTAGTTTCCCTGCAAACATTTTTGCCATATTATTAATTGGTCATAAGGCTATCCTGCTGTAAAAGAGAAAAGAACTAACTGGAAATCTGTCATAAAAGAGAGAAGAACTATCCTAATCCAAAATGTAACCCAAACCCTGACCAGAACCTGAGCCCTATTGTGACTTCCCTTGGAATGTCTTCAGGCCAATTGTCTTCATGCCAATTGGGGACATGGCAGAAATATCTGCAATGAAGTTGTTTAAGACCAAACCACTGGGCCTGGGTTGCACCTTCTAGATAGATGAAAAAGGGATTCAGATCCTATTTCCATTTCTTTCAGGATATTTCTATGCAACACTATGGTTTCTGAATTTACTTTATGATAACTCCCACAAGTAATATCATATTACTTTATGATAACTCCCACAAGTCACCAGTCTTAACTTGACATTTGAACAACAAAGTAAGAAGGTAAAGATTCAGGAAGGTAGTCCCAGGAAGAGGGAATATTATGATTTGAATGCAGGTGATGTTGAGAGGTATTAAGAAACCGAGTTATGTTTTCTGGTTTGGGGGTGGGAGTGGGTCCTTTTGGTTTTATGGCATTCAAAGTTAACCAAATAAAGAGAGAAGTATTATAGGCATAAGTTGATTCTAGAGTTTGCCTAAGAATTCACCTGTACTTAATGTCACTTTATCATCAATACCTGTGAATATTAATTCAATTGTAACAAGTTTAAAAGGTCATGAATACCATGATGTTCAGAACATGCAGAAATCTGATAACCCAGCTGTAATTGATTTATAAATGACTAGGCATCAATTGTAACAAAGTCCATTGTGCCTTGAAGGTTTAGGAGCAAGACGGGAAATGGGCCTTGTAGAGGACAGGTCTTCCCCGGGGTCAATTTCTGCAACCCCAAGCCTGCAATTCCAGTGAGAGCCACCAGGTGGCAGTGGCGCCTAAGGCAGCATGACCCTCTTAATGGGATTCCTCATGCCCAGACCAGCAGACACAATTCCATATGGCAATGCAGGGATTTTTTTTTTTTTTTGGTTTCCTGATTTGAAATATTCTTTATTAAAATACACTGTGGGTTTTGATTAAATATCAATTCTGTTTGCATTTTTTAAAATATTAACAGAAAATATCATCTAAAGCAAGACTAAATAGATGTCATATCTTCTGATGAAAAGTTTCTAGTACTGCTTGACTTAATTCAGTCCCAGGGATGTTCTCTCCCTGCTCCACTCTGCCCTGCTAGGGAACTCCATGAGGTCGATAGACTCTGCATGTTGGGCTCACCACTGGATCCCTGTGCCTGGCACGGTATCTGGCATAGGGTAGGAACCAAGGCTAATTTCTGTATAAAAAAGAGTACTGCTCTTCATTCACCCCAACCCTCCTTAGGTTGGTGATCAGCCGAGTGACCTTGAATATGACTCTGTGACTTGCAGTTTCCTTCTTTGGTAAAATTAGGATCATACCACTTATTTAGGAGGTTGTGTATATGCAAAGTTCCCGGCACATAGAAGTCACAATAAATCATAACTAATTGTTATAGTAATGACCATAACAGAATTATGCCTTTGCTGTTAATAGGTAAGAGTGACACTTCTAGATATAAAGAAGTATTTCAGCCATAGTATCTATGAAACATCATAAATCACCCACCACCTCTTAGGCTTCTTAGTCTCTAGGTGGGGAGTTTCAGAGGAATCCCAGCCCACTCTACCTACACAGAGCTGGGGAGTTAGGAGGTGTCTATGGCTATCAACCCCAGCAGGCCCCGCTACACTGGAAACCACTATGTGTACATCAGGCGGACTTCCAGTCGACCTCTATTACACTCCATTAAACTCCTGAAAATTGTGCAGGTGCTTCCCTCAGCGTAGCACCCCAGCCTGTGGTCCTTTTGTTGTTGTTTAATGTGATGGCAGGGAAGAAACCCAGTGCTCTCCTTCTGGCCAGATCAAATCTGCCGCGAGTCTCTACTCCTGCAGCAGCTGTTAACACCCATTATACCACATAGCAGGACTTCACAATTAGTTGGTGTTCCCTATTATTCTTTGTAATTCAACCCTTCTTTTCACAGTGGGATTTTATTCTCTTTTATCCTCTGAGTAAGAATGGAAAAAATAGCTAATAATGAGAAAGAACTTGGACCCCAGGTACCAACATCCTGGGAAGGGCGTACAAATAGCACACAAGTAACTTGCCTTATACCTGGGTAAAAAGACTTCCCAGACAGTGTGGGGGAGCTTGTTGGTGGTGTGGTTCCAATGTTCTCTCTACCCAGGGAGGAGCAGGAAATACCAAGGCTTAGAACAGGCAGTGGCTGCTTGATCTGAGCTCCAAAGGGCAATCCTGCTGCATGCTTCTTACGGGAGATGGCACATAGTGGACAAAGCAATGCTCTTTGATCTCACTAAGTCCTGTTCCACTGCTATTCTCTGCTGCAAGTTACCAGTGGTACCAGGCTGGCACCACAGAAGGTGGTGTTCTATGAATTTACATACATACACATGTACTCATAGAATATATAGATATTTTGAATGTTTTTACATAAATTGGATCATTCCGTATAAATTATTCTACATTTTTTTCTATTCAATGTGGTTAGGGTGTGTGTGTGTGGTTAGAGAGTATGTGTGTCTCTGTGTGTGTATAAACATTTTAGGGTATAATTTTACATTTACAGAAATCTTGCCAAGATAAGAGAGTTCCCTTATTATATCTCTCATCCAATTCCCCCTCATGCTCACATCTTACATAACCGCAAAACTTGGGTCACATGAAAAGCTACCATCGACACATGCCTTTTAACTAACTCACTTATAGGTTTTATGTATCCAGATTTCACCAGTTTTGTCCCTTCTATCTTTTTCTGACCCCAAATCCAACCCATGGCCCCACAGAGCTTAAGGATCATGGTTATTAATGACCTATTCTGGTGCCTCCTTTTGGGTTATGACTTTTCCTTAACTATTGACATCGGCAATTTTTTTCTTTATGGAAAACATTCTGTATATATGGAAATGACACCGTCCCCAAGTCCTGTCCATCATGCTGTAAGAGCATCTCGCCTGCCCTCTGTCAACCTGCATCATCTGCATTACAGAGTGCTGCCTGCCTTGTTTTCTGGGCTAGAACATGGAGGGGACACGGCACATTCACAATAAATACATGAGTACTGAGTAACTCAATATTATAGTAGTCTCCTAACTGATCTCCCTGTTTCTGACTCCTTTCTTTTCTCTTCCTGTCCTAATTTTGACCAGAATGGCCATTCTAAAATGCAAACTCAATGGGTCCAAGGCAATTCCCTCACTACAACTTTCAGTGGCTCCCTATTACTTTCAGGGTAAGTTCCCAGGGCCACAGTAACCATGAGCTACAGTCCTGAACTTTGTCCACTTTTTCTGGACCTGTGCCAACTCCCATCCCCCCTCTTGTCTGCTAGATATCCCTCCTCATCATGCTGGACTCAGCACCAGGCACTCCCATCACCATAGCTTTTCTGGACCCTCTTCCCTGCCCTGCTCCATGTGAACTGAACCTCGTGCTTGGGGCTTAGCCTCACTCACCAGTGGGTCTATCAAAGCACAGAGAGCAGATGGCCTCTCTGCTGGTGGTGTAACTGACCCATGGGCTATTTATTGCTTATTCCCTTTAACATTTCCTGGGCTTCTAACATAGAAGATGCTTGATTAAAGTTGTGAGTAAAGGAGTGCAACTTCATTTGTATACTTTTATTGGACCATTAAATGCTTTATAAGATCCACAAAGGAAGAATAAAGATAAGGTCTGTTGTACTAACCTATTTTGCTTAATGCAGTCACTTTACCAGATATCAATACCTTTTCACTTCTCTTTTTGCTAATCCCTAAAATTAACTTCCCAGGCAGTGGCAATGCTCAGGTGTCCTGAAGGGACTTTGACCCCAATCCCCCAGAAGTGCAGACCCTCCATCTAAATAAACACCATGTTTGCAAAGCAGCTGCAAGACTAGTGCTCTAGTCCTTGCCTGTCACAGCCAACAAAATTGCCTCTCCTCTACTTAGACTTGATTCTCCTCTACTTAGAAAATCAGAGATATTTATTTTCAAAGGACAGAAGACTCTATACCTATTTTTTTTATGATCCAAAGGATACAAACTAGAAAATAATTAGATCCCTTGCAAAAAATTACCAAAGGGAATAAATCACATATGAACAGTATAGGTCTTTGTGAGATGGAGGTGTGATTTTTCCTTCACTCTTAGAATATATTTTGGCTTCATAAAATGAACGTATATTACTAATAAAGTTTTAAAAAACAACTTTTTAAAACATGTAAGAGGAGCTTGGAGTTTGATGTACATGCTAATTTAGATGTTTCCTATTTCATGCCTTCATTATG